TGCTAGTCTTTAGATTCGTTCGGACTGCTGTCGGTCTTGATTAGTACTGCTAGTCTTTAGATTCGTTCGGACTGCTGCCGGTCTTGATTAGTACTGCTAGTCTTTAGATTCGTTCGGACTGCTGTTAGTCTTGATTAGTACTGCTAGTCTTTAGATTCGTTCGGACTGCTGTCAGTCTTGATTAGTACTAGTCTTTAGATTAGTTCGGCTTCTTGTTAAGAACTTAGTTCTTAAAAACTTTGCCTATTCACATTAGTCATACAAAGAAGAAGGAGGAGAAAGAAGAAGAAGAAGAATCAGAGTTGTTGTCATCAGAAGAGTCTTCAGACTGGGATTATGATTTTACAACGACTTGTTATGCTGTTTTAGATTTTGGTATGTTTCAAGTTTGAATAAACGAATCCTCTTTTACTCAATGCCCATGCATCATTTGGTTCCATCTAAACAGAAGGGTTACTGTTTCAGATTAATACATGTGGTAGTAATACTGACTTACTAAATATGTATGTTGCTGAATTAATACAAAAAAAGGGTGTGTTTAGGTTACATCTGTGTTATCCTTTAAGGAAACAAATTTTCCTCAATATTAGTAATTCAACTATTATTGTAAAGCATAGCAGGATATTCCACCACCTTTTGCAAATCATTTCTCTTCTTCAACTGCAGTTGTTTTCTAAGAAAACAGTTACACTGAGTTTCAGAAAATGTTGCACACACTCACAAACCTATTAAAAATTTTTGCCAAAAAGTTTTTTTTTTTATTCTGCATTTCCCAGATAAGCACTTATCTTGTGTTATCCTTTCGGGAACTCTTCTAATAGAATCCATTGGCAGATCCAATTATGTGGTGTTATTTTGAAAAAAAAAATTAATACTCTAAGAATCCACTGGCAGGTCCAATTGTTTAAACATGTGGTGTTGCCCATCTGTGTTATTCATCCCTTCACCAAAAAGTTTTTTTTTTATTCTGTGTTTCCTGATAAGCACTTATCTTGTGTTATTATTGCAGATCCAATTATTTTGAATACTCTAAGAATCAGCAGATAAAAAAATTATTAGGTAACACCACAGATCGGTCAGGACATCCATAAATAGTTATTATTATGGTGTAAAGCTTTGATAAACATAAATATCTTGTCACTGATACTATTGTTATAGTGACCAATATGACAAATCATCAAGAAACTGTGGTAAATTGTCAAGAAACTGTGTTAAATTGTCAAGAAACTATGGTAATACCCCAACGTGTGTGGCAGTTCAGAAACATTGAAACTGATAACCTATATGAAAAGAGTTGCTAAGAGAACAAAAAATTCTCAGGATGCTACATGCTCTGACATCAACGACTATCAAGATAATCACAATAAAGTGCCAACACAACTGTCTCTAATATGTAACACACTTTTGGAAATTTTCAATGAAAACGTTTTGTTTAAAGAAGTTCTGAAGTTCTTCCAAGAGGAGGGCTCTGAAGAGAGCCCTGAAGAGAGCCCCGAAGAGAGCCCTGAAGAGAGCCCTGAAGAGAGCCCTGAAGAATGGCCAGTATTTCGACAAAAATGAAAAAAAAACCAACTTTTTTCAAGCTGTTGCTAATTTTGGTAAATTTTTTTGGAATTATAATTACTATTTCCTTTTTGTTTCCTGTATCTAAGGCATTTGCCATGCGTTATCCAACTATTGGCAACTCTGTTTTCTTGTTTGGTGACTTTGATCAATTTGGTCATTTGATTCTTAAAGATTCTATTACTAATCATATTAATAGAGATATTTTTAAAGATGTTCAAGTATATTTGTTTACATGTAAATTTTCGAATGAAGTATTGTGCTGGGTTGAAATAATTATTAACTTAATTATTAAAATAAAAGGGGTTTTCAATGGTTGTATGGAGTTGTTGCTGTTTGCTCTAAATCAGCAATAGAGCAGAAAAATTTTTTATTCGCTTTACAACAAATTATTATTTAGTAAATTACTTCTTTTCTAAAATAAATGACAAAATTATCATACCCTCAGCAATGGTAAAAGTATAAAGCAGGGGAATTCTTCTCTCTTTGTAAGATAATTATTTGGTGGGGTGGGGCAGCAGTAGTCTGTGTGCAGGTAATGATACCTTACCAGAGCAGATACAGTTGACTTTTGTGGAACACGTATATTAATATTAACTATTTTGAGGAAACTTGGCTGCGAAAGGCAATCTGGGGGTTGAGTTTGGTGATTTATGGTTATACAGGTTAGGTTCTGGACTTTGATTTAGTTATTCCGATTATTATCCTGCTTGAAGCTGTTACACCATAATAATAACTATTTATTGTCATACAACAACTATGTACAGGAAAAAATTTGTATCCTTTTATCTTATCTTTTATTCTATTTGTATCTTGGCATCAATATATGCATCAGCCCAGCAGTTATTATTGGTGCGTGGTCCTCCTGCTTTGTTTTGAAACAAAAAAAACTGCCCCCGACCAGTCCAATAAAAATTTTCTCGTGTGGGAATATCATCTGTCGTTTTATGGCTCACACCTTTTGTATGTCACCTAGAACTGCCCCAGTCAAACAATATGATATGTATTACTAATACTATAATTTGTAAAGAGTAACTGCTCCTATTACTATCTACATTTCTAAACATCAACGAAATGCTTTTCGGAGTCAAATTATTCTGTGAGAACAAGTCTAAAAGTAAAGATGTTTGGTGAATGTAACAAACTTTCTTGCTCTAATGGATTTCTTTTTTTGGGGACAAAGAGCATGCTTGAATGACTGATTGATTGTTCTTGTTATATTATGCGCGAATTCGATTAGTGGGACTCAAAAGTTGCATTGTATTTCGTTAAATCGGATTAATTATCATTATTACATTTAAATTAAAAGTGTATGAGTATAAAAATACTGCGGTTTGGTTTCCGAATACTAACAATAATAAATAACATAAAAATACAAAGTCTATTTTATGCTTGTTAAATAATTGAATTAATAAATAAATTCATTACGCATTATGTGGGCACAAACCCACATAATCTGGGTGTCCAAAACCCCGCCCTCCGCCTAGTACCACCTCAGCCAAAAAGTCCCAGATAATGTTTATAGTAAGTGTAATAGTGATAAATTCGTTCCAAACATACCATAAACTACTGGTTCATAGGGGTAATAACTGTGCGAGTGTTGAATTCTAAAAATATGTGTTCATCTTAGTGGATGTTATGGACAATATTACTCAACACAAGCAAAATTGTTACCTCCAAATAACAATAATTATAAGCAATTCAACCAGAACAACAATTAGTAGCGGGCTCTGGTAAGTCATAGTTTTCCACCTTTTGTCTTCAAGAAAATCCTGAATAACTGTGTTTCTGGCTTCACAGAGCAGTTGTTGGTATTTTCCTTCAGCTTCACAGCGCCGTTGTTGTTTTTTTTCTTTGCCTTCAGCGATTAATTAAACATTAATATAAGAATGGATGCCATGTTTTGATAGACAAATCGTGACATATTCCCTAAATTTGGAAGGTGATGGTACCAAATTAAGTTAGTTGCATATTGAAAAAACGGGGGGCAATTTTACCATATATTTATGTTCTGACCCAAATCACAACCTGACCCAATTCAAAATCAGGTCGACCCAAATCGCAATTTGATTTGGGTTGGACCAAATCAAAATAAGCTCAGTGTGATATTTATTTGACATAATCACATAATTTATGCACAATGATGAACACAACAGGGTACACAACAGGGTACGCAACAGAGTATATATTACTAATATAAAACAACCTTTATTTCGGAAAATGACCGAACAATATTAATAAAACGTTTCTAATGATTTGAACATTGGTTGTTGTTTGGATGACAACGTTGACTACATATGCTATTCACTCTCTTACATGAACACCTTCTTGTTGAACAGCCTGATTGACAATGACATGCACTTGATTCTTCACTATTAACTGGCACCAGATGCCAACTCATGAAAGCTTGCTAATGTTAGTTCAAGGTCAGCCACTTGATAGCAAGCATTCAACATACCTAAAGTACACCCAAGTCTGTATAGCCCATCTCTTACAATCTCTAACACCTTACATGGCAAAACTTTCTACCAAGCCGTGTTCTGTCAGCTTCTGGAATTCATAGTCACCTATGCTAAATAACTGAACTATTCTTCCACCTCTTCCAAGCATTTTTTGCTTGATGCATTCCACATTGCGATTGATATTTTCCTGTATGCTTTGGTGAATAGCCTCATGTGTTTGGCCTACATCCATGGTTACTGGTTCATCACTACTATTATTATTATTGTCCATAACCACAGATTCATTGCTCTGATCTGTAATGGTTGATCATTTCTCCATTTAGTATGTATTCACAATTACATTTATAAAACCAATTTACAGTGTTCTTACCTTGCTGCATTCTTTCTTCAAATGCTTGAATTATTGCTGGCCATTATTCAAAGAATTGATCCATTTCATCATCCTCCTTTTCAATTACCTTATAGCCTGTTTCATTGGTATGCCAGTTTCTGAGATCTTCTAAGCATCTCATTACAAATCTCTTTATTGATTCATTCCATACATTGGGTCTTAGCATACCATAAAGCCATGTATCAATTCAGAAAACGTATGTGGAACGACGTGGACTTGGTGGGATTATATGGAAAGGCTTATACATCATTGTATCTTGCATAAAATTCCCTGTGAGTATTTGTTCGATGTAGGTTTCATCATCCTCAGAAAAGTCATTGTTCTCAGGCATGTGATTGTTCTCAGGCACATGATCGTTCTCAGGCGTGTAATCGTTTTCCGGTGCATAATTGTCTGCTGGCTCATCAACATGTGCCTCACTCATTTGATTGTCAATGCCCACTGACGATAGAGAGCTTTGTTCAACACCTTCAATTACGACATCATCAGGGATATCTTCTTCTTTGGTAATGCCAATCTGAGAGAGTTGTTCAAGTATCGGTTGGTTTATTCGAGGCTTTTTTCCAAACACTATATGATAGGGAGATGTACCAGTCGCAGTGCAGGTCTGTGTGTTCATTGCCCCTATAGAAAATTTTGTTTAATTCATAATGTGTTATGAAATATGCGCATCAAGCTGTAATGCAAAGCAGATTACTACTTACAAATAACCATTGGCAGTCCTAAATCCAATTGCTTGTTCCATTATCCTCAATCCAGGAAGAAAGTTTTGTTTGTAAAATATCGTTCCCTTTCTCAACC